CATAAAATGGAACCTTGTGGGGAGTAGTGTAACGTCGTGTACTATATTACACCTACATAGCTTATTCTAGTTTCTGGACAAGCCAATTCACCTATAACGTTATGAGTCATATTTTGATCATATTAATTATTCCCTTATTGACCTTGACTATTTTTTTATATCAGCGTATGTGTATGCACACTTCTTATCCTACCTATCACATACCTATCACATGTCTGTCATTCATTTTAGCCTGACTATAAATGTTGATTAATGCTTGCTTATAACGAGTTGGCTTCCCAGCCATCTCCACTCTGCGTCATCTTTCCTTCGCTTGCTTACATTTGCTAATGTGCTCACTGCCTTCTAGCCCATGTTAGTTATCAATGAAAATGTAGTTGCTGCTTCCCTTTGTCTTCTGATATTATACACCGTTCAGATTGTTATAATAACGGTTATCAAGACGATCGATTAACGAAGCACTACACGACATATTGGTAATCCCGACGTACGAACACGCAACACATATTGGCGATCCCGAATTACGAACGCGAAGCAAAGTTGGTAACTTCAACGTACGAACTCACAACATTTTGGTTAGCCCTACATGCGAACACGTAACAACCCCATTGGAGAGTTTCTAACTGGAGAAAACCAATTAAACTGTACCATGGGATAAAACTAGGATATTTCTACAAGTATTTCGCTATTCCAGTTTTCAAGATTGTTTGTCAATGGAAAAATTCCGGAACTTCCTAGAATCGTTTATTGCTTTTCCAAATTTTTTAGTATCAAGATAGCTGACTTCACAAGTTATGGGATCTTACCAGATACGTTAGGAAATATTATCAGTATAACAACATATGATTTGTAACTTGATTGTAATTCATAAATAAACATTTAAAGGTAATTTTCCTATGAGTTACTCGTTAATTTTAAATGTTAGCCTCAATGTTAAGCATAATTTCTCTACAGTATATCTTTCGATTAAATGGGACACAGTTACATCAAATTACATATATGTACAATGCAATACTTTTGGTGGAGTTTTTCTCACTGAGCTGGATGGTTTGATTGTGGAGCTCCAGGTTTGTGCTGATTGTTATGTCTTGATCAAGGTCGTCGCTAATTTGTTATGAACTTACAAATTAAACAAGGACGTAACTCGCGTGAATTATCCACCAATAGAATACGACTTCTCCGACCACAACATGGTGACAATCAAGGACGTTCAATCAGTATGTAATCTGGCGTCCTTATTGGTCCTTAATCTGCCTAGCCCGTCCATTCGAGTCCAGAACACCTATAGCAGCTTCTGTTATGCGAATCTGTGCGAATCCGTGAGAATCGTTTATTTCAAACATACTTTGTTTATATATCAGACAGACAGGCCACATCACACCATAAAATAGAAAATAATATTTGTACAAAACCAAGATAAATGGGAGACAGTAATCAATAAACTGAGTATAACATAGGAACAGTAAATCATATATATATAACACTGATGATGCTGTTCAGAATTACGATGAGAGCTCCACAACCAAATCATCCAACTAAGGGAACAAAACTCCACCTGAGCTACAAATATTCTACTCTGTCTCAATGCTATACAAATAAGGTGGAATCTTTTTATGTCGATAACTAATAACTTAAAAAGTCAAATGAATGCACGATAAATTAGCCATTGTAGATGAAGTCATATATCAGATATTTAATGCTATTTTCATTTAAATTATGATAGCCATAACTATTCTCATTCAAATAGTATATTATAGATAGATTCCAGATCGAATTTATCCATAATGTTTTCACTGTTTATTAATGGTGTCAATGTGAGGACCAGTCGATCGTTTTCTTGTTCATTTAATGGGTTACTAATGAGCATTATAGTGTCACGTTTTAGTTTTGAATCCCTAACGTTTACAATAATTATGCTCGTCATCCTTCATGTCAGTCTATGCTATAGCAGTTTTAGTTAAACACGTTATTTCTTTTTACTTACTTACTTAGGCATGTTGTCCCTCGTGGAGGAGCATGGGCCACCCACCAGCACTCTCCATCCAGATCTGTCCTGAGAAATCCTTTCCTGTTCTTTCCAGTTGCTATTGATCCTTTTCATGTCTGTTTTCCATCCTTAACTTGTGTGTTCTTCGGCCTTCTTTTTTGCTTCCCTTCACGATTCCAAGTTAGCTCTTTTCTCGTGATGCGGTTTGATGATTTCCACTTCCAATGTCTTTTCCTAATTTCCTTTCCAGCTGGAAACTGGTTTGTCTTCTCCCATATTATATTGTTTATGATGGTATCCGGTCAACAGATATGGAGTATGTTTAGTAGACAGCTATTTATAAATACTGGTTTATAAATACTAATACCTTTTTTAAAGATTGCTGTTGTAGTGCTCCACGTTTCAACTCCGTACAGTAGAACTCTCTTGATATTCGTATTGATGATTCTGACTTTGATATTAGTTGACATTTATTTTGAGTTGCCAATCCTCGCCTTTATGTCTATATCATGCCCTCCTTGTTCATCGATGATGCTGCTGTTCAGGTACGTGTCCAGATTCCACATTTTTCCCAGCTTCTCTATCAAATATGATTGAGTTGGTGTTGTTGTATCGATACTGACATGGAACTTTGTGAAACTCTATTACATGTTTACTATTATGGTTTAGATGTGACACATATGTATCTGGTGCCCTATATATATATATGAGAAAACAAATGATTCGTTGAACGATTTTTAAGCAACTAAAATTCGAGCTAGGGGGAGGGATATGTGCATAGATTGTCACATGTGGTTGTAGTGTAGTGCTTCGTTAATCGATCGTCTTGATAACCGTTATTATAACAATCTGAACGGTGTATAATATCAGAAGACAAAGGGAAGCAGCAACTACATTTTCATTGATAACTAACATGGGCTAGAAGGCAGTGAGCACATTAGCAAATGTAAGCAAGCGAAGGAAAGATGACGCAGAGTGGAGATGGCTGGGAAGCCAACTCGTTATAAGCAAGCATTAATCAACATTTATAGTCAGGCTAAAATGAATGACAGACATGTGATAGGTATGTGATAGGTAGGATAAGAAGTGTGCATACACATACGCTGATATAAAAAAATAGTCAAGGTCAATAAGGGAATAATTAATATGATCAAAATATGACTCATAACGTTATAGGTGAATTGGCTTGTCCAGAAACTAGAATAAGCTATGTAGGTGTAATATAGTACACGACGTTACACTACTCCCCACATGATTAACAATACATGTCCATACAGACATGTTAGCATTAACAACGACATTGGCAAATCGTCAATAATCGAATAACACTGTCTAATAGATAAGTTAAGTGAAGGTCTCGAGGAAATTAACCGTAAACAAACTTACTTATGGGAAAAGTGTTGCAAAACCAAGCATACAACAATCACAAACTTAAACAACCACTTCTTAAGAAATATCTTGGAATCCTGCTACTGTATGATCTAAAATCTCACGCTAATAGTTGCAGAGACCCATTTGCAACGAACCTTATACAAGAAACTTTGAAGTATATTTCTTACTAGTTTACTAAGATAATCTTTCACTAAATCCTTGACAGTTTTACTCAAACTCAACGTGTGGTTGCATGGCGTTTCATCCTTTAGTCCCGAAATAAAACAATACTCTGAAACGTAATCATATGTAAGCCATGAAATTTATTCATTTTCTTAGGTGCATGCTTTACTCAGAAACCTTTAATTTGCCACACCTTTAAACTTTAGAATAGACAGAATTAAGAGACGTTCTCTTCTAGCGGTAAATAAATCCCCAAAATCAACAGGTCAGTAAGTTTTCATCATTGGATGCTGACCATATTAGTTTTAATGGACTCACGTAGCTGAAGGCGCTCGGTCATGCATCCGCACCAGATCACGAGTTGGAACGCCTTGCTCAGCTTCCCCTGAGATCGCTAGCCAGTTTAGATCAGTCACTTCCTGATATATTGATGATCTATCAAATACATCTTCCAACCTCCTCGTTTCTGACTTTTGATTTCCCAGGGTGGACACGATTCCCTTATTGAAGTTTAGAGGAGTCGCTTTGTGTAAACTGAAATGATCTAGATGACTTTGTCGTGGCCTCTAAATTGAAAATTTTAAATTACTTGAGGGCTTCACACAGGATATAGTGACTCGTAGTATAACATACTAGACTTTGAATCCAAAACCACCACTCACTCCCAGGAAGTTGCAGCCAAAGGAATTAGAACCTTATGGGCTTGAAGTCCAACATTCACCAAGTTAAATACTACTTTGTCCACTACAGTGTACAAAGTTTCAGAGAGAACTAAGCCTGAAACTGCACTCATTCGCAAGCTCCTGTTTAAAAGGCGACTAGGATATTCTGGGAAAAGTACAGGAGACAACTACCTATTAATTCCAGAACTCCGGGGTTCACCATACAAAGAGCGTCTTGAAAAGCTAAATCTCTTTACTCCGTCGAATCGCAGACTTAGAAGTGGCCTGATTTCGATATGTAGAATACTAAGAAATGATTTTGGACATAATATATTCTATTTTTCTTCCCAGTAGATCGGTTTAGGTTTTCAAGTAGTGTCCTCACTTGTACGAACCTGTTACCCGAAGTATTAATGTCCATGCCTTAAATCGACTCAATACCAGTAGTTAAACCTCAATGAAATAATACTCAGATTATTCTATCGGCATCCGTTGCAGATAATTTGTTAATTTCGGATGATTGAACGAAAAGTCATCGAAATCGGATCTCAAGGTCATCTTTGCGGCGGGTTAAGCTGTTTGCTCCCAGTTTCTATCACAAGGCTGCTTTAATCTAAGGCTCATGTTATTGCTCATTGTTGTCTGCTTCTTTCCTTAGTAAATGTAAGTGCACTGTGTGCGCCTTTTGGGTTATCGACACATCTTTCCTCATTCTTTTTTCCAACTCTGACACGTTCCACCCTGCCTGTTCTTTTAGTACACAAGTACCTTCTCCCTAGACGCGAACCGCCACAGTCATGAATGACAGGTTGCCTGATGTGTTTGCGCAAATCTTGAAGAAGTACTCTGAAGTTGCAGATTACAAAGGGTCCTATACCGAGCCGAAATTTAAGGTTTTATCCTGATTTTGAGCTTTATTGTCAGGATCTCCTCAGGATTGCATGTCAATTGTGCGAAAATGCAATGAGTATGGTGAATGAACTTCGTTTGTTTAGCAAGAATGAAAGCTTAGATGATCTAAGCTCTACCGAAATAAGGTGATAATGTTTTTCTTTAAAGACTATTTGATACAGGTACATATGTCTTCCTGCATTACTTGGTTATTTCAACTCTCAGAAAAACGATGATCGGTCATCCTGTATTAGTTTGGCTTTGGTATGATATGTTTGTCCTGATTCGCTTGAGTTAGTCTCTCTACAAGGACTTTTTCAAACTTTGCTCAGATTATGGCGTATTGTTTCCTGATGGAGTGTCTTTGGAAAAGTATGTTTTTTTATTCGTAAGATTTAAATATTCGTTTGAATTAGCGTCCCCTGTATTTTTCTTAAGTCTATGTATTTTCCGTTGATCAAAGTCGACTATTTCTTCAGACGCTTTGAAGTTTAAAGTTAAACATTTATCCAAGTAAACGTTGTTGTGGATTAGTTTTTAAGTTATTAAATACAAAGGCAGGCCTCAAAAGAAATCTTTGTAACTCTCTAGTATTCGTTTCTAGGCTTAGATAACATTTTTCAAGATGTATCCAGAATCGGATAAACCGATAAATGTACTCGTGCTCTAAGTTTTAAACCGCGTATGGTGTTAAAACACTCAAACACTTCAGTTAACTATCACACTGTGGTTAGCCAAACACCGCCGTACTGTTATGTTGCATAATTTTACAACTGGACAATCACTCGTCAATTGACTTAGTTTAGCTTATATTATTCTCAAAGTTGGTATCTGTAATGGCAGAAGTAGATTATCGGTAAGGATGAAATGAATGAGTTCGTTAGCTAGTGTTACTTGAGTTGAAATGTTGTATATGTCATCCCACTATTTAATTTCGTGTTTTGCTGCTAGTTTGGTTGACACTGTAAGCTGATAACCAGATCAACACATAGCATCCGTTTATGCGTTTTCCTAAACTATGCGGAAAATATAATCTTCCTGATCTCCGTGTGAGAAATTATAAGTTCATGGCTAAAAACACTAACGCTTACGTTTTTCGGACAGTTTAAGCAGCGGTTTCGTTCAGGTGTATGTTTTCTTCATGCAAAACGTCTCGTACACACGCTAGTATTATAGATTCATGTTTCTCTACATCTCTTACTTAGAAGCAACCGAATTTCCGGTCAGCCCTCAATGTCAGATCTTGCGCACGACCGTGAAGTCAAAATAAAACGTTACAAATCAAAAAAAGCTCTACAAGAACGTTTAGAAAAACTTGCATCGTACGTGGACCAACCTCATATTGATGAGGAAACCAAGGTATGCTCTTTTTTATACATTAATATTAAACACCGCTAACTACTTTTCACTAGTTGTATCTGTCAGTCTAATTTGTTGAAGGTGGTAGAACTTGATAAAAAATAATTTAGGCGAACCTATAACTTGACTCATGATAAACGCTACAATTGTAGCAAGAGCACCACTGATTAAGTATTGAAGACAATTAATTACCTGAAATTATTTACAATAGACTTAACTGACTAGTCATAAGTGAAATTACACATAAAATGACACGGTTAATCTTTCAGTAGTACGTTTATAACTTCAATGATGAAATGCCATTAAGAGAAGATACTCCTGAGTTACTAGCATTCGATCACAGATGCTTTAAGAACATTGCTTGCATCTTCTGGGATCACCGGCTAAGTAATAGTGAGGTTAGACACAGGGTATTAGGGAATGATGATAAATCAGTTAATGTGGTTGTGAATCATCAACTGAAATGGTTGAGCCACATGTTACATATGCCAGAACACCGATTACCACGACGCGCAATGCTGACTAGCATTGGGGATGGTTGGAAGAGAGTGAGGGGCGGCCAAACTAAAATGTGGCATCAGAGCTTGTAGGCATTAAGTTTTAGTCTGAGCCATGTTGGTAGATGCAGACTACTTGGTTGGTGTACGGGTGACTATTTGTAACCAATGGTTGGAGACTGTGACATAGTTCAGTATTGACCACAATGGCGTAGGTGTATACACTCTTTGTCTTCCCCTAAACCGTGAGATTAAATCGGCCTTATAACTTTCTTTGTACTAACTAATTCTTACTTGCTGTATTACATCCTTAGATACAATCGTTCTTTTACATATTACCATTGAAGTATTTATTTCTATGAATTTGGCGTTGATCGTGTTGTGCTAATGAGGTGTGGCAACTTGAACTGATGCATATATCTTCCTGATCCTGCGTTGTAGCTGACTATTTTATGATAACTAGATAGCAAACTTAGAAACCTTTCTTTTTCTCTCTCCAAATGATTTTATAATAATCGAAAAAAATAATATTTTGAACTGAATAGATCGAGTTCCATCGAATTGCTATAAGATACATCAACCAATATTAAATGTAGAGATGTAAGCTAATAAGATGTGATGAATATTTATAGTAATTTGATTTCCAAGATTTAGGCAGATAATAATTTTTAATCCGTTTGTTTTATTAATTTTTTTTTCAACTTAATTGGTACATTAATCGAATAATCCACAATAATCAAGACAAATCAATCTTTAAGTGTACTGTCACTGTAGAAGAATGTGTCGAAAACTGTCTTAATCTTTTTGAGTCATGTTTGAAGTAATTACGAGTTCACTTAATCTGAAAACAGAACAAAGACTGTGAGCAAAGACCAATAAGCTAGCTATTCTGACGCGTCCCAGCCCCGCTAACTAGAGAGAGAAGCCCAGGTTCGAAGTGGAGAATATATATTCCGTAAGCAACCAGAAGCCCAAACAATAAAAACAGGTGCAAATCAAACGTATATATATATATATATATATAAGATTGTCCTTGGGGAGCGTTGAAAAATAGCATACTAAAAGGTACAACGAACCAACAGCGTTTAAAACCCTCCCAAGTGGGAAATACGACATGAAGATGAAAACGAGCGCTTTTGGCGCGAAAACATGAAATTCAAATATTTAAAGTAAAATTACAAAGATAAGGCATTTACCAAGTGAGTTCTGGGGATCTAACATCTCCAACATTTTGTTAAATACTCTTAATCTTCAGGAAATTAATTACACAATCTCAATTTTTGACGCTTATTTTGTAGCGTGAGTTCAATTTAACTCTTGTTCAAAAATGGCTTTGCATCGCGCAAGATGATATAATCAGTCTACAAAATGAGCTGGACATTCTCTCGAAAGGAAGTTCCATAAACGAGGATAACATAAACGTTACCAGATCAGAACCTTTGCGACCATTTATCATAACTCGGTCAGCTGCACAAGCTGCAGTGTTTGGTGCTGGTTATCCAAGCCTCCCAACAATGACTATTGAAGAGTTTTATGACCAACAGGTTAGCTAGATTGTCGTTGTATCTTACTGCCATCACACTGTTCTTTAAAGCAGAATGACGGATTAGTAGTTACACAACTCGTTTTTCTTAGTCAAGTTCCCTCAGTCAACGTTTGATAACACTTTTTAAAATGACTGGAAACAAATGGGAGTTCGACTACTCCCTTCTCTATAGATAAATGTCAATACCAATATATTTATCGGGAAACATTTTCCTCGTCATAAATTTTAACAAACCAGATGTTATGTAGATTTCTTTATTTTGATAAAAAGTGTGACAATACAGGTTTGATTTCTGTATATTTTTTTAAATCACCTTGAAAATACTATTACTTACCGAACAGGACGTTCAGCATTATCATTCATTTAGAATGAGAAAATCATTTGAGACACTAAATAGTAATTTTTAACATACTAAACAGTTTTTCCTGGAAATAGGACTACGAAACTGTTAAAAACTTGTATTATTTGTAACGGTGCTTTCGTTTCTTTAGATGTTGGACTTTTATGATGTAGCTTGGTATAATATCAGCGTTGATAATATTCAAAACGACAACAAAAGCTCTGCAACCGCTATTATAAGCTTTCTACCTCTAAGAGCGATGCTTCGTAATCCAGAAATAGATTGAAAGAAAGCTAAGGGTGGCCAAGACATGGTATCAGTTGGTGAAGTCACTAACTGATGGTTTGAGCCATGTACGTAGATGCATTGAAGTAGATGGTTGAAGTCTGCATGGTAACCGTAGTTAGTGGTCAGACAAATTGAGTGACATGGCTCTGAATCGATCACAATGGTGCAGATACATCCAATACCTATCTTCCTTTAAGTTTTGAATTCCAGTATCTCTTCATACATACCTTTCCATACCTTCTCATTAATATAATATTTCCCATGGTTACCAATTTATTTGTTCTGTTTTTAGGTTGCAGCTGGTTTATTACCTCCTCCAAAACCTATTGTTCAAAGTGGATCAGGACCAAATGTGAGGCGAATTGATCCATCGGCAGAAGAACGTGAAGCTGAGGAAAAGAAAAAGGCTAAGCAAGATGAATTAGAGGATGCCGACGACCCTGATATGTTGTCAAAGGCTCGATCATTCGATGATTTCAAAGATGAACATCGTAGAGGTAGTGGGAACAGAATGAATAGAGCTTAAAGATCTCTGCTTACCATGTATAGGTTAAACGTTTATTCAATTTATGTATAAATGTTAAATACAGATACTAAACTAAACTTCTTCGTTTTCTCTAGTTTAATACTGAATGATAATGATTATTCTATATCCTATTAAATACTATGCATTGCTTTTAAGTTGGAAAAAGCTTGACAGTAAAAACCATATTACTTGCTGTCCATTTGAGTTTTGTACAGAAGTACAGACTTTCGAACTGAGCTTCAGCAGCAGATAGCCATGGTTTGTGGTCAGGGACTAAGTGACGCGGCTCAAAATTAGTCGCTACGGGTCAGATGCATTTCTTGTTTATCTTATTCTAATTCTTTTTTTTATGGTACCTCCCCTCATCTTTCGTTCTGGAATTTTTTCCCTTTTCTCTTTATTCATAGTTTTCATTTCTGTAGCTAGTTTGTTTAAAAGTAAAGTCACTTGTAACGTTTCTTTAGCAGTAATTTGTGATAAACCAGAAATTTTGTTGAAATAGTGGACTTCGTCAATCAGATTTTTAAAATTATATCAGCAATTCATGAATTCTATAAGAACAAGTTTTGCCTGAGTAAATAAATTCGCTTCTTTACTACTTTCCAACTTCGATCTGTTAACATACAGGTTTTATGGATGTTTAGTGAAGATCTATGCTTATTCACAAGCTGTTTTGCAACAGATCGTTATTATGCAGTGATTTAACAAAAATGTTTGAGAAACTAACTTTGCTTTAATGGTCCAGGCATTTTATAAAGTTTAATTGTTGATTCATTGGTATGGCTTAAAATCTATCATAGTTACGGCGATATATGTATTCATCTTATTACTGTTTATTTTATTTAAAAACATAAATATTGGTACAAAGGGGCACCAGATATATATGCGTCTCACAAATCTCATTTGATTTGTGTGAGGGCTGTGATACTGCTCAGGTGCCCAAACTGATGCAGGTGATTTATTTAGGGGGCCACACCCAGAGCCTTTGGCCTAAAGGTCTGATCCACAAGGCAGTAGAGCATCATGAGGTGATGCAGTCCTATGGTAGCCAGTCACCGACGATTGATTCATACTCCAATTGTTCCCTCAGGATACTGGAGCCCATGTGACCATTGGTTTGGAATGAGGGTTTTTCAACTCCCCTAGGTTGAATCGCCGTGTCCACCAACCCGGTTAACGCGCTGGACATTTACTTTTCGTCCTCTCAACTTCGTAAACAACACCCCTGGTGTGAGAAGGCAGGGAGTAGGACTTCCCTGGGAGAGGCTATATACGCGTGGCCATGTGAGAGCATTTGGAGAGGGAGGGCGTACCCTCCCCACTCTCGGCCGTACCAGGTCATGTTCTCCTTTTTTTCGATTCCATTCAAATTCGATGTGTTTTTTCGTTCGCTTTTAGATATCATAAGAAACACTAACGAAAAAATGTCAAAGAAACCTAAAGTTCAATATATTCAAAATGAAGAACCGTCATTTATTAAAGAATTTAAACAACGTGCTGGTATTCCGACAGATGCAACTATCGATTCGAAAGTGAGTTAGTAGTTATCATATATCACTCATATTAAAATGACTGACTACAACAGAAGTTAACAAACAATTTAATAGTAAAGTGTTATAACTTGTGTGGCCGAGTGGATACCTTGTTAGCGTATGACGTGTTAAAACGGCCAATCAGAGAGCAGCGAATTATCGATTGGAACAGTGACACACGAAAAACCGTACGAGCAGTTTAGAGTGGTATCGGCCCTGCTATCTGCCTAGCCCAGCTAGTTAAGTCCAGAACACCAATAACAGCCTCTGCAATATGAATCATTATTCTCAAACGTGCAAAACATTTAAAATAGAAAAAAGTTAAATAATAAGACTTCAGTCTCTTTATCCTCTTTTTATTACTGTTGTTCTTCAGCGTACAGAATTAATTCCTGATGATAATGATGACGATGATCGACCAGATGAACAACCACAAATAGTTTTTGATCCATGTTCTGATGTTCATGAATTAGAAGCAAGAGCATTTATCAAACAATGGCAATATGAACATAAACTTGGTTATGTAGAAGAAACTATTGTAAAAAATAATGAACCAGGTAAATTTTCTATTTATTTTTTTCATTCACAGTCCTTTCCTAATTTTTCTTTTCTTTTAAATTGTTATTGTAGGTGTACCAAGTCGAATAATGTTTCGATCTGCTGAAGAACGTTGTTCCGATGATAAAATCCCAGTAAAGAGATCAGATAGTGACATTCTTTCAAATAATCGACCATTGCCACATCAACAACAAAAACGATCTGCCAGAGATCGTTCACCCATTGATTCTAAGCGTAAAGACACGAAATGTTCATTGTTGTCATTTGATCTGGATGAAGATGAAGGATAGATTATAATTATTACTATTCTCAGTAACGTTTGACGCTCTTATTATTGTAATATATTTTTCGTTATCGTTTGGTGTATATGTTGAGTAATTATTACGAAATATATTCACTACTCAAATATCTGATGTTTGTTACTCATTGACATAATATTTAGTCCATAAAGGTTTCACTGACATGTTTATCAGATTAGAATTTGTTGTGAATTTATATTCGGCTTGTCTAATCTTGACACTGTGCCAAGCCAATGACGTTCGACCGGTATGAGCAGCAGCCTAGCGTCCTTATTGATGCTTTGTCCGCTTAGCCTTTCCAGTTGAGTTCAGAACACCAATTACAACTTTTGCTATGTGAATCATTTATTTCAGACATACTGGTTTATATATCAACCAAACAGACCTCATCACATCATAAAATAGAAAATAGCATTTGTACAAGATCAAGCCAAAATGTGGCTGTGAACGTAGAAGACAATAATCAATAAACTGAGTATAATTTAGGAACAGTAAATCGTATAGTAATAATCTATAGGTCAAAATGAAGCTTATAACGAGATGAATATAGATACATACAATCTAATCACTGGGAGTATATATAGAACAATAGTCACTTAATAGATCCCTGAAGTTACCCGTAATTTAACCTTCACTAGGATATAACAGAATTCAGCAGTATATCGCTTCAAAACTACTAATGTGATGGGTGAATAAACCACAGTAAAGGAAATTATATTGTATTCGTTACTCATATTTGAACTATATTTATTTGTGTAAGATTAGGTTACTCCAGCCGGCTGCTGAAACCGAATTACGTAGAATGTTATTCGAGTCAACAGTCTCACGTTTTAAAATCGAGCGCTTTAACTAATTATTAATGGATTCAGATGCACATGTAGGAATAATATTAAACAATAAGACAAATACTGAGAACGTGTATTTATGAAAAGGAAAGAAGTACACTAATGTTGTGGTGTGGGTTACTTATATCCACATAATATATAAAGATGCTCAGGTATAGAATGTATTTCAGAATATCGATAAGGAAAGAACGGGAACGGAACGCAATTGGTATAAGAGTGCATAAGCAATGAAATCAGAGACGGTGGACTGATATTTGCAGAAGGAACAGTGAAGATTGAGACAATTAATTGGTAGTCTGCAAATTAACTTTTTACTGTATGGTTGTCAGATTATAGTGAGGTATTGTGTAATTTTATGCCTAAATACATTCGATTTTTCCCACTCGTGCTCTTGTTCACTACAATGTCATATTAATTTCCGGTTTATTTACACAGCTACCTCAATTAGAAATCTATGCCTGACTAATCAGAAATCCGACTAACCGAGATTCTCCAAGTCTATATTTCATAATCCAGATATTTTGCAAGCAAGTTAGTTATTTTGGGTTGATATTCTGATCGATTTTTGCAGTCCGGGCTTGAATCTAGGCATATAATTCATTAAGTAATCCAATCACGTATGTTGGTGTACAAGTCCAGATAACTATCATCTGACTGTTAGTTACTACAATGGGAACTATACGAATCAAATCTGTGCCAGATCAAGGTATAAGTTGTCAATGATGCAGATGAATATTATCATGAAAGTTATGCTTTCATTGAGATTAATGTTAGACCGCCTGGGAGCACCGGACGGCCGTTTTTCATTAGAATGGGACTGCTCAACAGTGCACATCACAATCTCTCATGCGAACTATTAACCACTGAGCTGGCATTCAACAGTGTTAATGTCTAACTTTAAACAATCTACGATATTCCACAACTATCTTGAGCTTGTGCCTAGTAACAAAAGAAACATTTCAGTGTTAATTCGTCCATAGTTTCTTAATTACCGGAATGGTGTCCATTTATCCTGCAGCATATATCGGTGAAAGGATGTGTTTAATAGGACTCACTTGCACATTTTGTACAAAGTTATGGAAAGATAAGAATTATTCTACTGAAATCTCTAGTTTAACAGTTATCAAACATTAAAAGAAGTAGGTATTAGCAACTCTTATATTATATGAACTTCTGGAACATAATAGTTGCACTATTCTGCTAGGCTCTTAAATAAAATCTAAGCATGAATTAATTGGTGAACTCGAATCATCTAATTTTTGCAAATTGATACCCAAATAACTAAATTTGGTAAGCATACTTGACTATATTTTGTTGGTGAAGTAATGCATGTTGAAATAAGGAGACTTCTGTAACATTTACTCGATCGACACTCCTTTTAGTAGAAACATGGTTAGCTCATTGAAAGGTTCTAGTCGCATCCCCTCGTCAATATTTAGAATCTGACCGAAACTACTTACCATGCTGTGTTGTTTCGTCTCCCTTCCTAATGAATATTAGTTATTAGATTGACAATAATATATCCTAGTGCTCTATTCATTAAGACTTTAATTATGGTATTAATGAGATAATCAAACTAATTATAGACAGGTTAGCTAAATTACTCCACACTAACGAACATCTATCTTATACAAGCTACCAATCCGATTACAAAGAAAATAAAATGTTGGTAAATTCTGCTGAATTCATTAAAACCAACAGAATTATTTTCAATGAAGATATATTTCAGCATCATGATAATCACGTTGAGAGACAAACAAAATAAATAACCATGTCCCCTTATCTTTTGTAGGTTTGATATATCTCCAGATTTAACTCAAAGTCAGTTCGTCATGATCAATAAAGAATTTTGGACATACATAAATCGTCTTAAGTTCTCACACCATCAACATATTGAGATGGAAATACATTTTTATTTATATAAAATCATAAATACATGTATCAACGTATCCTGATTACATTCTTTTGAAACAACAGCACTCTTTCAACAATTGCTAACATGAGTCGTTTCTCTTCGTTTGGCTAGTTTCGTTTACTATGGAGTTTTGGTTAAGTTCCCTATAGTTTGTACAGATTATAAGTTGGAACTAGAAAGTCAAAGGGACCAGATAATTCATCTGAAAGGTATCCTCTGACTTCTTATAACGGTGTTTTCCGAACCAATGAAAATAGGTGGTTACTTTCAACACGTATATAAGAATAAATTTTCTTATGAAAGTAGTTTGGGGTGATCTACTTATACATTCCTTTGACATTATCTACGAGAGCGGAAGGAATTCTCTTTGCTGTGTCTTTCCTATTTAAATTCTTTATTTATTGAATTGCACTTCATACTACACATTGTTCTTGATCACTTATCGCCTTTATTTCGTCACAATATTATCTCTACTTGTGTAGAGCATACCTTTAAGGTACTCCACTGTACCAGAATTAATGTGTGACAATAAACGATGGTAATAAAATGACAGACAGGTTTGTCCTTGAGCACTTGACTAACCTTAAGTATTATATTTCTGTACATTGACAACAGCCGAATAAATCTATTGGAATCAAATAAAACTAGGCTACAATCAAACTGGCTTAAAATGTTTTTCAAAGTCAATAGAACAGTTAGCATAGAATAGTAAATTTTTAGCTTGCAGAACATTTAAATCTTCTTATCATCATGATGTTTACAACTGAGAATTATTTACATTATACTTGGCTTTTACGAACTTACGTCACCCGTGGCGAAGACGAAATATCCGTCTATCAATTAAGGGACTAGTATGCTGCGCAGCAATTCGCTCTGTTCTACTTTACGGCTGTGAAACGTGGCCATTAGGAGTAGAAGATACTCGTAAGTTACTAGTATTTGATCACAGATGCCTTAGAAATATTGCTTGAAACTGCTGGGATAACCGGGTAAGTAATAGTGAGGTTAGACACAGGGTATTAAGGAATGATGGTAAATCAGTTGGTGAGGTCGTGAATCTTCATCGATTAAGATGGTTGGGCCACGTGTCACGTATGCCTGAACACCGATTACCACGACGCATTATGCAGTCTATTATTGGGGATGGTTGGAAGAAAGTTAGAGGCGGCCAAACCAAAACATGGCATCAGTGTTTGAAGTCATTAAGTTCTAGTTTGAGCTATGTTGGTAGATGCAGACTACTTGGTTAAGATCCGCGTGACTATTGTAACCAATAGTTGGAGACTGTGTGACATGGATTAGAATCGATCACAATGGCGTAGGTGTATACACTCTTTGTCTTCCCTTAAACCTTGAGATTAAAATTGCTTCATACCTTTCTCCCTTCCTATACTACATCCTTATATACAACCTATATTTTATATACTACCACCACCACCACCAAATTAACTATTTCTATGAATCCGGTGTTGATCTTGTTGTGCTAACGAGGTATGGCAACTTGGACTGATGCATATATGTTCCTGATCCTACGTTGTAGCTGACTGACTAAACCCCGCCACGAGAAGGCAGTGAGTAGGACTTACCTGTCAAAGGCTATATACACGTGGCCATGTGAAAACATTTTGAGAGGGAGAGCGGACTCTATCTACTGTCGGTCATACCATGGGATTTGGGGGCAGAGATCGAACTTCTAAGGATCCGAAAATTGAAATAGATCTTTTTGAAGAATTATTTCTATATGATAACTAATCATTAATTTTATCCCCCTATACTTTTAAGTTACTAGTAAAAAGAAAGAAAAAATAAATCTTACAAAACCTTTATTGAATTAAACAGTATGTATATATATATCATATAATGAAGCATTATTCACAAATCCTATTCATCATTCTCTATTGAATATATAATCTATTCATATGAATAACCAAACAATTCATTCATAAGATTATATTACATAAAATAGATTAATAAAACTTGTACTACTACTGTTATACATGTATTCACCTTCGGATCGTTACATCACACACACACACACACATTATATCAAGTTAATTATTTATAATCGAGGTAGTAAAAAGAAAACCAATTCATTGAATTACATATAATGAATAAGAAGGAATGGAAATAGATCAAATAATAAACCATATTTAATGCAAATCATTAAAACGAACAATTATATGAATGTATATACAAACCTTATCCTGTTCCAATTTTAATGTTTAAAAAAG